AAAAAAAAAAAAAAAAAAAAACAACGCCCCACCGGCTTGCCTGTAGCCTGATCTTATGGAGGTGTTTTCTCAATTTTCTCCCTCCTTTCAGAAAACTAGCCAGCACAGCCTTGAAGGTCATGATCGGATCCACTTCCGGGCTGTTCCCTGCTTCCTGGTGTGGGGGCCACCGCTGCACACTGCAAAGCTGCATACCGCTCCACTGCGTACCGCTCCGCTGCATACCTCACCACTGTGTACTGCACAGCTGCTGTGGCGTACAGCGCTGCATACTGCAACGCTGCATACCGCTCCACTGCGTACCGCTCCGCTGCATACCTCACCACTGTGTACCGCACCGCTGCTGCGGCGTACAGCACGGCTCCTGCGGCTGTGCCCTCCCACCGCCAAGAGCCAGATGCCCTGAAGCAGTGACCAGGATAAGCTCCTTGTCCCTGCAGCCTCATCCCATGTGTCAATGGGACGAGACTAGTAAGTGAAATGTCTCTGGTTTGAGGTTCAGGGGGACACTGAGGAGGACCGTCCTTTTGATGAGAGGTTCATTGGAAGAATTATTAGTGCCATGGGCTTGCAAAGAGACAGACAATGTGGCGGGGGATCTAAAAAGGGGAGTGTTTTGCTTTGCTTCTCTGTTGCTGTGATAAACACCATGACAAAATAATTTAGGGAGGAAAGGGTGGATTTGGCTGCCAGGCAAGAGTCTACCGCCTAGAAGAACTGAGGCAGGATCCTAGAGGCAAGATCCAAAGCAGAGGCCGTGGAGGAACACCGCTGATTGGCTTGCTCCCGTGGCCTGCTCAGCCTGCTTTCTTATATAGCCCAGGACCACCTGCCCAGGGGTGGCACCACCCACAGCAGGCTGGGCCCTCCTACATCAATCATTAATAAAGAATATGTCCCAATTCTGATAGAGGCATTTTCTCAATTAAGGTTCCCTCTTCCCGGATGACCCTGACCTGTGTCCAGTTGACAGAAAAGTAACGGGCACCGAGGGTTCTGGCCCATGGTGCAGAGTAGCGGTCCCTTCTTATAGGTGTCAGAGGACGGGCGAGGTCTGGTGGTCGATGAGTTGGCCACAGCAGGGGCCACAGCCAGGCTGTCCTTGCTTCCTGGTGGCAAGGAGAGGGGAGAGAATTTCTTGGAAGGAACGTGTGACTCTGAGGATATGGAGGAGGAGGAGCACATTAAGTTAAGGTGTACACACCATACCAGTGGAGGATATGCTGGAAGGTGCTGGAACCCAATAGTCCCCTGATGCCCCAGAGTCTGGCAACTTGAGATCTGTAAACTTCCTTGGGGACGAAAAAGTGGCCTGGGCCATTCTCCTGGAGTCTGTCTGGGGAGCCTGGAATCAGTCTAGGGCCTGGAGAGTCACAGACAGGCTCGGCTAAAGGAAAAAAAGAGGCTTCTTCAGGTGGACGTGGCAGCTGCCTCTAACCCAGCCCTTGAGAAGGTAAAGACAGAGCAAGCTGAGGTGCTAGCCTAGCAGAATCGGTGAGCTCCAGGTTCAGTGTGAGACCCTACCTCAATAAAGTGAGGAGCTATCCAAGAAGACATCAGTGTCAACTTTGGTCATAGACACAAGGCGAGGGGAGGCGGGATACCCATATGCACATCATTTATACAGGAAGGAAGGAGGGCGAGAGGGAGGCCCAATAACAAAATGGCACTGATGTTGAGCTGTAGCGCCCTCTAGTTTCCACAACTGGGATGGCAATAGGGTAATGGAGAGTTACCTGCTTGGAAGGAACTGGAAGCCAAGCTCTGACCCAGAAAGGTGCAAGACAGAGCTCAAAACAGATTTGATGTGTTCTGTTCTTTTACCCACTGTGTGCCTATCTTTCCTTTGAGGGTGTCACTCAACTTACAGTCACTGGGCTCTACACAGGTCCACATCTGTTCACATCTAGCCACAGGCTAGAGTCTACATTTCAAGGTGCTGCCAATGTTTTCCAGGTTTGCCCATACAGAGTGACCCATTAGGACTTTCCCGATATTCCCAGCCTTGGACATGATGATGAAGGCCAGGAGAATGAAAACTGGCAAGATATGCCCTGGCCTTCTAGCTCCTCTGCATGCTGGAAGGGCTCAGGGGTCTGTCCCCACCCCCACCCCACACTGCCACTGAAGACTGCCGCTGAAGACTTATCACAGCTGGTGATGGGCAGTTCTCAGTCACCTCTGGTCAGAGCTGGCAGCTGTGGCTGAGTCTCTGCTGGACTTCTCTGGCCCCTTGTTCTAGGAGGTCTCACCTAACTCTAGCAACATGTTCATAATTAGCATCACCCTAGCAGCTGCCTGCTGGGGTCTGAGCCCGGCTCCTGACATTGGCATTGCCAGCACAGTACCTAGGGGCTTGGGGCCCGGGCTGTGCTACATTAATTCACTGCCACCTTGATACCCGCTACGTTCCTTTGTCTTCAGCGATCCCCTGTCACACTTCTCCCTGGAGACTTCATGCAAACAGGACTCCTGTCCCCGACATCTGTACCCCGCCCCCCAAGCCCTTGCCAGCCCATAGTTCTGAACACTGTCACAAATGGAAACATGAAGAGTCTTGGAAAACTAAAGATGATCGTTCTCTTGGAGGTTCTGGAAGCTGTGAAGTAAAGCCCCTGGGCCTTTTATCATCTCTGTTGCCATGGCACCACAGCTGCCGAACTTGAGGGAGGCCAGCATGTGGGTAAACCTCAGCAGACAATGACCAAGCAGACACTTGCCTTGAGAAAGAGTCTTTATTTAGTTTGCCTCATCGTGAGGACAGATTAAGGTTGACACTACAGGTTGAGAAAGTCAGCTATAAAAAACGTGAAAAGGAAAACTATCTAGAAAAAACATTGCTGCTCCAATGTTTGGCTCAAGGTCGTGTGGGGTTGTAGACAGGGATCTCATTTTCCTATGACATTCCTCCCCGTCTTCAGCCCGCAGACCCTGGGAAAACTTGGCCCACACCTTTCTTCTCTGCCATCTCATCATACTTTGCCGTGCATGCATTTGTGCTAAGGGAAACCTAGCCACGGTGTGTCCGGTTGCCGAGTCTCACACGCTCATGCCTTCCATCTTTTCTGGGAATCTGTGCACGTGGAGCCAATGCCTGGGTGTGCTTTGCTTCACATCTTAGTGCTCAGAGGCTGGCCACGGGCAATGCGTGTCCTCCTTCCAAGTGTGAAAGCTGCCACAGCTAGGACCAGTGCCAGGAAGATCCCACCAAAGATGGCAGCGGTAGGGTAGGCTGCCTGGGAGCTAGCCGGAGCTGGTTTCTCCACATCCTTCACTGCCAAGTCTGAGGGGGCAAAAAAGGAGAGTGAGATGATGGCGTGGGACAGGACACAGGCCAGAGAATGGCAGAGGGGACAAGGAACTGGGTGGTCCTTGTCAGAACCTTTCAGTGGGGAGGGATGAGGAAATGGGAGAAGAGGAAACTGAGGCTGGCTTCCAGGAGGCAAGAGAGATTTACTGCCATTGTCTTGCCAGCCAGGGGAGTTAGGGAAGGGTCTCAGCAGCAACTCAGGCCTGGGCTTCGGGAGAATGAATCTGGATCGGGTCTGCAGATGAGTGTAAGGGGAGAGGGCTGTGGCATTTAAGCCAGTTGGGAAATGGTGACAAGAGTCCCAGGCAAAAGGAACCCAGGACCTGAGCTACTGTGGTGACTGCAGGATAAAGGGAAAACAGATACCGGGCAGCACCTGCCTCTTGCTTTTCTCACTGTCCTGTTCAACGCAGTCCCACCCCCAGCGGAGGCACCAGATTCGCACAAGTTCTGCTCTGACTATACCTGTCTATCTGCCTCCTACCATGCAATAGGCCTTTGGTAAACATTGAATGAGTGAATGAGGAAAGAGTGTAGAATCAGCCTGGCGTAGGGACTGGCCTACTGTGGGGCATGAGGACAAGAAGCTATCACAGATGGTTCCCAGAAGGTGGCAGTGATGTCCTGATCTAGGTAGGGGTAGGTTTGTGACAAAAGAACAAACCCACTTCTGCCTCGGTCACCCTGGCTATTATATCTCCCTACCTGACACCAGCCCTCGCCAGAAGTCCCAGGAGTCCCACTGTGGACATTTCCTAGTCAATACCCACAACAAAACAACATAGCAGAAATCACATCTACCACCTGGGCTAGGTGGGGAGTAAAATGGCCCGTTTAGTGCCAGTCCCCCCAGACGTCAAAATCAATTCACGTTTCCTACGTTTCCATGTCCCACCCAGCCGGTGAATTCAAAACACCTGTTACCACCGCGATGCGGAGCAATATTCCCATTACTTACGTTAACAACAGAAACTATAGCACATTCACTAAACACCCAGTGACTTGCACCAGACAAGGACCAAGGCATTTTAAGGAACATTGCTTTATCAAGACCTTTTAACAGTCTGAAGAGACATTAGCTCTCTCACCTTATAGATAAGGATTCTGGGAGCTCCAAACACAGACAATCAAGCCTTCCAGGTCACAACTCTCTTGCCTACAACCTACATGTGACCTTGAGTCTGGGGGGGTGGGGCAGCAACCAGGCCTAATTCATTGACTGGTGTGCAGTTTGTGTTGGCCCATATCACAGTCAAAAGCATCCCAAATCGACCAGAATCATGGACCCCACTGGGAAGTAGGATCTGAGGGTAACCACCTACCCAGGCTCCTCCTGTCTTTGCTGGGGGATTGCAACTGGATGGGTCCCAGGACAACGTCCACCTTCTCTTGATAGGAGCCTGTGTCCCTCTTGGACCTCACCACGCAGCCCCGGTAGCACCGGGAAGAGGCATCGTATGCTCTGCACACCACCAGTTTACACTGCAGGTACACTGAAGGGAAGCGGTTCAGGAAGTGGAAGGAACTGAATTTGAAGCGGGTAATGCGCGGTGACGGCGAGGAGTAGATTCGGTAAGTTTCATCTCTTACGCATCTGGAAGTAAGGAGAGCAACTGGTTAGCTTGCTGAAGCCTGGTCTCATCTGAATACCCCTGCACTCTGCAGTCATCCTGGCTGCCTGGGCCTTCGGTGCCACCACACACAAGTTGTGGGGTGTGCACGTACGTCCCAGCAGCCCCAGTACCTCCCCAGTGTGTTTAACACAGCAAATCACCTGCCGTGACAAGCTCAGTGTGCTCGGATAATCGGGGGGAGCTCAAGTTTGGAATCCAAGAGCAAGCCAGAGGCAGGACAGGAAAGGAGATGGCCTCGTCTTCCCTTTCCTGGTCACTGGGCCTCAAAGGTGACAATCAAATGTAGGCTGAACATCTTCCATGCTCCCTGACCCTTGTCTCCTAGGGCCCCTCTGCCGAGCCCCCCACCAGGCCTGGCCTGCCCCTGTGCAACACCGTGTCCATCTTGGCAAGTTCTCTCTAGGACCCTACTCCAGTACCCAGCACTTCCTCTCCCCTGGGGCACCTTGTCTCTGCTGGTGATAGAAGGAAACTAGCAGCCAATCTTAAAGAATTCCACTGAGAAGAAGTGCCATGCCCGCCGGTAGAGATTTCACAGTGGGGCCTGGACTTGCACACCCAACCTGTCAGGCCTCCTCCAAGACTACAGAAGCATCACACCTGCTCCTCCAGGCAAGCTGGAGCAGAGATCAGTGCAGCCAACCTGGTCTCCATTGATTCAACCTCAACGTGGAGCCAGGGTGGAGAACTTGCATTCCTGGTAGATGGCTAAGCTGTGTTCTCAGGGCCCACCATCCTTTTTCATTTAACCTTCCCAATAACTAATCCCCGTCCCTATCTCCAGCTGACTTGTGGTGCAGAAACTGACCCAGAGATGTGTGTACTTTAGTTTGGGTCTGCTCTCAAATCAATGCATTTCCCATGGCATGTTCATGTTTTTAACCCTAAGGCTAGAGTTGAGGCAGGAATGGCCTCAGGGTTGCCATAAACCCATCCAGTTGTTCACATGAGGCTCTGGGGAAGTCTCAGCCTCAGAGGTCAAGGCCTGCTTCAGTTATAAGTGCGGATCTTTTTTAGCCAACCAGTTGAGTGACCGTTGGTGAGTCATTCCTCTCTTCCCACAGGACATGGTGCCTAATAACCTGTCCCCTTCATCAGGAATGTGACCCAGGACACAGCATGAGGGTTCCTCAAAAGGCAGAAGTCCCATGTAGAAAACTATCTAAGCTTGAACCCCTGGCAGGTTCAGTTAGCCAAAAATCTGCATTCCTTGAGCTTTTTTGGCTACTCATGTGTGAGTTACAAGGCAAAAGTTTGCATCTGTCCCATACACGAGTCCTTACCCACTCCGGATGAGATCATATGTCAAAGATGAGAAGTCATTGGGGTATGGTGAAGCCACACAGGTGTCCACAAACAAGGCCAAGGAGGCATCAGAATGGAGAATTTCAGCCTGAAGGTACAAGTTTTGGTCCAGATCCACATAGTATGGGCTGCTGGTCACTGGATACAAGAAGGAGGAGGATGTATAAAAGGAAACGTTCACATCAAAATTGCCATACTGGACTTCTTGGATCTCGACGGTGTTGTTGGTGATGTACACAGTATTGATCCAGGTGTTCTGAAGCATCTTGCAGCTGACATGGATGTGGAGGTCCTTTTTCCTTTTGATGATGCCATTCGAAACAGCTGCTTTGAGGAAGTTGGAGTAGTTGATGGTCTCATTGTCAGTCTAACAGAGGAAAGCAGATCAGGTCGGGTCAGTGCTGGTTTGGGTTAGAATGAGCAGAAATGACTCAGGGAGATGCTCACAGAATCTTACAGAGGTGCCACCCTGTCTGCTTTGTGGCTGCTATTACCTAGGATGGATATCAGCGTAACCAGCCAATGTCCCCCACTCTCCCACATTCTCTGGCACATGGTGATGCAGGCCCTGATAATCTGTACTTATGGCTCTTGCTTGTGGCAAAACGAAGATGTCTTGATGGCCCTCAGCCTGCAGTGTGTCTGACCAAGCTCAGACTCCATGGTTCAGGACTCAGAGCAGGATGTTCTGAGCCTATTCTCACTGTCACTGGGGGCAGTAGGTCTCATACTCATGAGAGGGTCCTGGTAATATCAGTGTAGAATGCTTTCTATTTTGAGTGACTGATGACTTCTTCAGTGTGGTGATTGGCCACAGTGGAAGCCGGAAGCCATGAGATCTGCACTTAGAACTGAAGCAGGCCTTGACCCCTGAGGCTGAGACTTCCCCCAGAGCCTCATATGAACAACTGAATGGGTTTATGGCAACCCTGAGGCCATTCCTGCCTCAACTCACTCTACTATGGAACTATTCACTTTCACTGAGCAGCAAACTCATAAGGAGGCTGTTGCCCTGTGCCATTGAATGTGTCTACCATCTCTGGGAGCTGCCATGCCAGGAGCCTTACGCCTGGGGCCTGTGAGCATCTTAAGGAAAGAGTGATGTCTAAACACGTCTCTCTCATTTTCTTGGTATAGCAACAGCATCAGTAGCATCTGTAAGTATCCGTGAAGCAACTGGAAAGAATGAAGCCAGTGGACCAGAAGTACTTTGATAGGCAGAGGGTGTGGCAAGGAGCCAGTGGCCAAGAGGACACACGTGAACACCCAGAAGACCATGTTGGTGACTGTCTGGCTCCAAGTAAGGAAAGCACAAGTACGCCATCACCAGGCTGGGCCTGTGAGGCTTCTTCACAGCCTGGGTGCTATGATGCACTTCTCTCAATCCCATGTCATAAGCCCTGCATGCCATATGAGCAGGAGAATAATACCATAGTGACATGGACAGTGTCACTGTACTCTTCATAATGGATAAAAAGGCAGGGCAGGACAGAGCAGAGACAGACAGACAGACAGACAGACAGACACACACACACACACACACACACACACACACACAGAGAGAGAGAGACAGAGACAGAGAAAGCAAGCTTTCCACTATAGTCATGTGAACTGTGAAGGGTGAACCCCTAACTGATTGGGACCTGGATAAGGTCCCCTGCGTTCCCAGCACTTACACAACTTACATATAATTATTTTTTCAGAATCTAGAGCCTTCCCCTTCTTCTCTGTTGTTGAGAACTCTACTCTGCATGTGAGCCTTCCAGAAACACTGAACATGAGACAAAAGCTTTTGGATCATAACACGAATCTTAAAAGGTCTTATTAATAAAAACAAACCCAGAGCCAGATATTGGGGTGAATGATGGAAGATCAGAGAGACAGAACAGGCCACAGCTAACCTCACCTCGCCAATTCCTCAGCTGATCTCATTTCCTCAAACTGGAAGCCTCTGTGTCCTCATCCGAATAGATCTCAACTGAACTGCTGCTCAAAAGCCTAAAAGCTTAAAAGGACTCTAGTTCCTGGTCCTTGTGCCTTCTATACCTTTCTGCTTCCTGCCATCACTTCCTGGGATTAAAGGCATGTGTCACCATGCCTGGCTGTTTCCAATGTGGCTTTGAACTCACAGGGATCCAAACAGGATCCCAAGTGATAGGATTAAAGGTGTGTGTGCCACCATTTTCTGGCCTCTGTATCTAATCACTGTTTATTCTCTGATCCCAGATAAGTTTGTTAGTTTTCACAATATATTGGGGAACACAATATCACCACATTGGATAATCTCTTTGACCCTTTCCTTATCTTTTCTAGTCTTGTCTCTCCCTCCTCAGACTGACCAGAGCCTAGGGCAGGGCCAGCCTGGTCAACAGAGGCATCATATCCTGCTGTGCTCCAGACCCAGGTCTGGGGAAGAACCTGCAGAAAGGACTCGGCAGTACACTGGCCTCCTCCACGTCCTAGCAATGTGTCTGAGAGCTGTTTGCTGCTGTAGAACTCAGGAAAGAAGGTGCATTTGGACCTTTGATTCAGGGGGCTTCTGCTTCTTTCTCCCACCCCAAATGAAACTGTAGATGCCCCCGACTCTGTAAAATCCAGAGCTTCTCCTAGGAGCTGTGTGAATGGAGTTCCGCTGGCTGGTCTCTCCATTGGACACAGCTGTGGACACTGCCGGGCTCCCCCTCTGTACCTGCCCATCCCTCCTATATGGAAGTAACTGTGGCTAGCATACCAGAGGCTCCTGCCTCCCTTCACATGAATTACGTTCTGATGATATCACAGCCATACCTCCTGGACCCCCGGGGTGCTAGAGGCAGCACATATGTCATCGGGATACAGCGTGCTCGGGGCTGGGGAGACGGCTCAGTGGGCAAAGAAACGCATGCCAAACCTGACAAGCTGCGTTCTGTTCCCAGGACTCACATGGCAGAAGAAAGGAACCAACCCCCATAAGTTGTCTTTTGACCTCCACATGCAGGCAGTGGCATACTAACACACACACACACACACACACACACACACACACAAAGTAAATTTTTTAAAAAAGAAAGCATGCTCACTAGAGTGGGCAGTGCCAGGCTTACCTGTTTGGTAGTACCACAGCCTGTGTAGGGAATTGTGAATATGACCTGCCTCTGTGTTATCTGGGGCTGACACTGGTAACTTCCATTCCAACCAGGAATGACAAGATCCCTGGCAGAATAGCCCATGGACTGAAGGTAGTCCCTGCTCACACTGGCTTGCATGTGATTTGACAAACAAAGGAGACCTGGAGGACAAGAGCAGAGGGTGCATTGAGTCAGGATTCCAAACCCCACAACCCTTGGGAGGGTCTTTTTCCAGGTAAAGATACACAGATCAAGAAACCTAATGCACATGGTCCACAGATGAGATGCATGCTCACAACAAAGTCACCATGGCCCCAAGAATAGCCTATGGCTAACAGTCAGCCTTATCCTCAAGAAAGCCCAGTGAGGGCTCTTAGATGTGTAGGATTTTCTGGTATGGAACTGGAGACAGAATTTTAAATATCCAAAACATTTTGTCAAGTTAGCATTTTCCCATGAAGGAAAACAATTGTACAATAAGAATGTAGTGATGTTATTAGGTAAGGTCCTTTAGCTAAGGAGAAAGTGTATGCCTCTGATCCTAGCTGAGGAAGAGACCTTGGTTATCACTGTGTTCAAGCAATGTAGACATGGGTTCATACAGCATCTCAGATTGGGGCCATAAAGCCTCTGTTAAAGTAGCTGCCCATATTAAGATATCCATCTCTATCCATCTTCAGGCAGAAATCAAATGTGTCAGGTCTCAGGACATGGCCACTCACCCTCTGGGAAGGTCACAGAGCTTCAAGCCTGGTGTCGCCCACAGCTCCTTCTGGCATTGTCCTCTCACTAACTGTTGAGAACATCATCTCATACCTTCTTATTCTTTGCCATCACACTCAGGCCAGTATAACTCTCATCAGCCAATGCTGGCCCTTGACCCTCTTTTGGATGTCCAGATGTCCCAAGTCTTGGATGCCCCAAGACTAACTGCACACAGCCTCTCTCAATTGGCAATATAGGAAATCAATCATAGGGACTATGGTTGGAGTGTTCTAAATTTTTAGGTTACAACCCCAGGACAATACAGGAGCAGAAGGCTCTCAGTGATGTCCCCAGTCCTAACAAGCCTTTGTTCTGACAAGGGAACTTACTGGTGATGTTGTTGGCATAGACCGAGTAGTACTGAGCCTGGAACCCTCTTCGGGTAACACTGTGATCAGTGATGAAGCGAACCGACATGAAGTTGGATGTGGAAGTGAAAGAGCCCATGGCCCCATCACAAACCCGAGCGATGAGAGGAGAACTGTGGTGGGGGCCATCGAAAATCTCAATATAGTCATAGCTGCAGCCCCCTTCAAGCCTGAAGAGACAAAACAAGCAGTTAAGTGTTATGGGATGTCTTTCTGTACGCTGTGAATATATGCTGTTCCCATTGGTTAATAAATAAGCTGCCAGGAAAGGCGCAAAGCTACACAGAGAAACCCTGTCTCGAAAAACCAAAAATGAATGAATGAATGAATAAATAAATAAATAAATAAATAAGCTGCTTTGGCCTATGGCAAGGCAGCTTGGAGGCAGGTGGGAAATCCAAGGAGAGAGGAAGGAAGGAGAAAGGCGGAGTCTGGAGAGATGCCAGCACTGTTAGTAGAAGCAAGATGTTAAAGTGCCAGTAAGCCACGGCCACGTGGCAACTTATAGATACATAGAAATGGGTTAAGTTATAAGAGCTAGCTAGCAAGAAGCCTGCCATAGGTCAGTTTGTAAATAATATAAGCCTCTGAATGATTATTTTATAAGCAGCTGTGGGACTGCAGGACCGCGGAACTGGGCAGGACCAGAGAAACCTTCTGGCTACAGTTAAGTTCTCTACTGTCCAGATATGGATGAGAGCTCAGGGCTCATGGAAACTCTGACCAAGGTCATTATTTGGAAGAACAGATGACAACTTTAAATCCAGGGAGAATTCATCTTGCCAAGGCCACCATGCCATGTCTTCATACTGCCATCTAAGGTCACATGTATAAGATCTATAGTCTCCCTTTCTGACAGTCCTTTAAATCAACAAAGGAAGGTCACCAGAGAACATCTCGACTTGTTCCTTCAAAGTGCTCCCAGGTCCCTTCCAGAATGAAACAAATATCAATGAATTCATAGTGATAGAGATGAGTAATGAAAGAAACACTGAACCTCTCCAAGGCTCAGGTTTCTCATCTCCTAAGATGAACACTGTGCACTATGCATACTGAAGAGGGTAGTGGTGATGTCCACATGGAGCTCTGCATGGGAAAAACATAGTTTATGAAAGGTCACAAGCAGTGGACACTGTTGTTTTGGTGCTAGTGAATACGGGTATAGTTTCTCAGCCATCTGGGCCACTCGCTTCCCAGAATGAAGCAAATATTAATGGGCTTTTGTAGACATCTTCTCTGCTCAAGAACATTTTCTTTCATAAGCATGAGTGATAGGAACTCTCCATATGCATCAGCAATGCTAGCACCCTGGCTCCTGAGGACTCAGAAAGGAAGGGGCCGATGAGGAAAGGGCTGCACTGAACAGGTACATCTGTATATTGTGACCCCAAGACTAGCATTGCCCAAGCCCCAACCCTCCCTCCCACAGCAAACATTTCCCAGTATTAGAGCATTCTCTGATGACCTCATGATCAACAAGATGAGAAAAGCAGGGATTCTGGCCCCTTCTCTAGCTGGGGCTTAGGAAAGTGGCATCCCATGGCCATGCAGCAAATTCAGGACAACCCTGGGACTTTAAGTCAGAATATTTTCAACTTCCTGTGCGCTTGCTCCCATTCCACCACCCGCCATGGGCTACTCTCCAAATCAAAACTGGAACCCTTATTTTAAATGTCACCTTGACTATCATCCCCTGAATTTCAAAGCACCCCAAATTTTCCCTCTGACATCTGCTCTACACCCACACTTACTGCACATCTCTGAAGACCACAGTCACACGGTAGTTGTTTGGGACCTCAATGTTCCACACACATCTGGCATTGTTAGGGTAGTTCCTGGGGTAGAATGGACTGGAAAAGTTCCCAAAGGGTTGGGTCAGGAAACCTCCACAGGTGTAGTTTACTGTCAGGAAAGAGAGGAAATGCTGATGAACCTCAGAACACAGCACACAGCTGCCTGACAGGAGGAGAAATGTTTGACACAATATCCAAGTTGGGAACCCAATAAAAGCCAGCCTAGCCCTGGCTCACTCACTGAAGCCTAAGGGGTGTGTGTGTGTGTGTGTGTGTGTGTGTGAGAGAGAGAGAGAGAGAGAGAGAGAGAGAGAGAGAGAGAGAG